TGTTGTTGCTTGCATACCGATGTTGTTGCTTGCATACTGAATGATCACTGTTTATCTACTTTGTTTTGTGATGTGAACTCAGGAAGTTCTCAAACAGGGAATCAGCAAAGCGGTCGAGGAAAAGGAAGCAAGAGCACTTGTCAGGTCTTGAGTCTCAGGTAAGGTTAACAAAGTAGCTGTTAATTTTGATGCTTTTTGTAATGGATTCGATAGGCCTTGTGTGTTTCTTGAAGGTTGGCTCTCTGAAAGGAGAGAACTCAACTCTGTACAAGCAGCTCATAGACGCAACACATCAGTTTCGTACCGCTGGAACAAATAACAGAGTTCTCAAATCAGATGTTGAAACTCTGAGAGTCAAGGTACCATCAATCACTTTGCTCTAATTCAGTGCTGATAGTAATAACTGGAATGTGCTAAGTTAAGTAACTTACAGGTGAAACTAGCAGAGGATTTGGTAGCTAGAGGTTCCTTTACAAGCAGCTTGAATCAACTTCTTCAAACTCATCTAAGTGCACCACCACACTCCATCAACAGTCTCCACTACACAGGAAACACCTCACCTGTCATTACATCCCACAGCGACCAATCTCTGTTCCATGGAATCACACTTTCGGGACAGAACTCAAGCCCTGGACTTGGTAATGTATCCAGCGAAGCAGTTAGCTGCGTCTCAGATATCTGGCCATGAGTTTCCATATATCTTCACATGTAATGATGATAACTATGCGAGTTTCATGTATGTGTGTTTGCTATATAACTAGAAACATATAATGAAAGGGACATGCTTGTTAAATAAACTCAAAGTTTAGTTAATAAAGATTCACAGCTCCAAGAACCTTCTTTTGCCCTCTGTTACATATAATTAACTTGGAAATTTTGAAAAACTAGTCAAGTTTTGTGTGTAACATATACTTAAGTCCATGTAAGGCTAAGGTATCAGTGAGAGTCCAGAGAACAATTAACATAATACAATCATCTACATGCCATAAACAACGACTCCACGTCCACGATTGCCTCGTGGAGGCCGAGGTAGCCACGGAACTACACACTAGGAATCATTATAGAGTAATCTTCACTTTGGATTCGCGTTTCTTCTCTTTAGCATATTACTTAATTGTATGTTTGCTACTACTACTACCTTTAACAACTCCTTAAACTTTCACAAACTATAGGACTCCAAAATAATTGTACTGTTCTTTCCTTGCATTTTAATTAGAAAGCTTTTTTTTATTAAAAAAAAAATATAGTAAAAAAGCAAACCTAAATAAAATAGGAAGAATAGATGTAAACCTAATTGAAATAGAAAAATGATAATATGTTAATTTATTTATAAAAGAAAAAAAAAAGTAAGATTTGAAGCACAACAAAACTCATACTCGTAAAGGAAAATTTTCCTCCACTTCAAGGGTTTGAGATGGTAGTGAAGAGCAAAAGTGCCGATTTAAAAGAAGGACTTGGCGTTGCAATTTGTGACCAGAAGGTTAACTTGTTGTTTAACGCTAAGGGACTTTTACACGATCCAGAAAACATCTCGACCTACATGGAGGATGATGGGATTAGGGCAAGAAGAAATTTGTATCCTCGTCAAGTTAAAAAAGAGTCTTGCCTTATCTGTTTCGACGACAACATTGATCCTAATCTCATGTTTTCTGTTGATAATTGCGATCATAGGTTTTGCTTAAATTGTGTAAAACAACATATAGAGGTTAAGCTTCTTGATGGGACCACGCCGAATTGTCCTCATCATCGATGCAAGTCTGAGCTATCAGTTGATAGATGTGACAAGCTTTTGAGTAACAAGTTGGTTTTGATGTGGAAAGAGAGGATTAAAGAGAGCTCAACTCCTTTCAATGAGAGAATCTATTGTCCATACAAAAGATGCTCATATTTGATGTCGAAAACCGTGCTTTCAGCATCTGATAATGGATCTAGAGTTAGGATATGCTTCAAAAATCTGGTGGCTCCTTCTGTGTCCGTTGCAAAGTTCCTTGGCATAGTATGCAAACGTGCACCGTTTACAAGAAGTTGCATCCTTTTGGTTCTCTAAATGATGATACAAAGCTAAAATTTCTCGCAATTACTAACAAGTGGCGTCAATGCGGCAAGTGCCAACACATGGTTGAACGTTCTTACGGATGTCCCCACATAAGATGCAGGTACGGTTAATCAAACAATCCTTTTCATTTGATTATATATGTATACAAAATTGCTTTTCATACAATTTTTCTTTCTTGTAACCTTATAGGTGTGGATACGTTTTTTGTTATGATTGTGGAGACGAATGGAACAGCCCCAACCATAGAAGAGATTGCGCTTCTTGGTTCAACCATGATATGGTAGAACTGTGTGTAAATGTTGTGGGTGGTGTTTTACTTTTGCTGGTGCTGCTTTGTGTTCTCTACGCTATTTTTAGAGCCTTGTCATGAATTCTTTAGAGGTGTTGTAAGCCTTTTATTAAGAGTACAGGCAAACAAAAAAAGACTTTACTTCCAATGTCTATTAGCAATTTAACGCGATTCCCAGGGCTGCTATGGGCAGGCAAAAACTTTGCAAGTTTCATCTCCTTACAAGCAAAATACATCCGTAACGAACTCTATAATAGTTTCAAGTGCTAATGATCACATTTGCTTTGAACATCACTAGAAAGCATAGCGCTAAAGTTAAGAATCTACAAAAAGAGTTATAACCGCTGACCAAGTTGGTGTTTGCATGATCAAGCTGCCATTTCTTCACTGTGAGCATTATTCTCAAGCTTCTTGATGACCAATTTGTTGTTTGCCTTGTCAAGGTCAAGAAGAATACTATCTTCCTCTGCATATCCTCCCTTCAAAACTTCAACGGCGATCTCATTCTCCACCATTTGCTGTATCACTCTCTTCACCGGCCTTGCCCCATAGTTGGGGTCGAACCCAAGCTGAGCAAGTAAATCCACTGCTTCTTTTGTATACTCGAGATTTATTTTCTTCTGTTCCAACCTATTCTTCACGCGTTGCATCTGCACCAAATGGTAAAACAATACATTTATACCGACCCAAAATCAAACCAAAACCAAACTGATATCGGGTGTGTAAATAGTTTGTTCTTACCTGTAACTCTACGATTTTGGAGATTTCTTTTGAATCCAGCGGCTGGAAGACTATGTATTCGTCGATTCTGTTCATGAACTCTGGCCTGAAAGTTTGTCTTGCTAACTCCACAACCTGTCGCTTCATTATCTCATGAACTGCTTCTTTGCTATCCTCATTGTTGCGGAGGGTCTCGAGTATGTGGTGAGATCCTATATTAGAGGTCATAATCACAACACAGTTTGTGAAACTTACTGTCCTCCCTTGAGAATCAGTTATTCTTCCATCATCTAGTAGCTGTAGAAGGATATTGAAGACATCATGGTGGGCTTTCTCGATCTCATCAAACAAAACCACTGAATAGGGTCTTCTACGAACAACTTCAGTTAACTGCCCACCTTCTTCATAACCAACATAGCCAGGAGGTGCACCAACAAGCCGTGAGACTGAGAATTTTTCCATGTACTCACTCATATCGATCCTCACTATTGCGTTTTCAGTGTTGAAAAGGTATCCGGCTAGAGCCTTGGCAAGCTCAGTTTTCCCAACACCTGTTGGACCCATGAACATAAAACTGGCTATTGGGCGGTTAGGATCAGAGAGACCAGCCCTTGAACGACGGATAGCATCGGCTACTGATTTTACAGCGATGTCCTGACCAATTACTCTCTTGTGGAGCACTTGTTCCAACATGACCAGTTTTTCTCTCTCTGATTGCTGAAGATTCGATAGTGGAATACCAGTCCACTTGCTTACTATCTCTGCTATGTCAAGATCGGTTACCTCTTCACGAAGTAGTGACTGTCCAGACTCTCGGAAATTTTTGAGACTCTTCTCAACTTCTTCTAACTGACGTTGGAGGGATGTGAGTGTTCCATACTTGAGCTCAGCAGCGCGATTTAGATCATATTCACGTTCAGCGGATTCATACTCCAGGTTCACTCGATCAATCTGTAAAACATACAACATGTTTAGGAGGACACTAAGGTTGACCACCACAAGTACTACAACCACTAAGAGTACTATACAAAACAAGAAACTGCACGAATATCTTGAACCATGTTTTTTCTATTAAGTCGTTAAACCAAATGAGGAATTTTACCTCTTCTTTAAGTGAACTTATTTTAGTCATGATAGACTTTTCTTTCTCCCATTGCTCATTCAACTCTTTCTGTTTTCCTTTGAGTGTGGTCAAATCATCCTCAATCTTCTGTAGTCGTTCTTTAGAACCTTTATCAGTATCGTTTTTCAAAGAAAGCTTCTCCATCTCCAGTTTGACCACAGCTCTATCTATTCCATCGAGTTCAGTAGGTTTAGAAGTAATTTCCATCCTCAGCTTTGCGGCAGCTTCGTCAACAAGATCAATAGCTGAAATAAACAACATGTTCAGAAACAATGATATTCTCGAGGATTTTTGTTTTGGCTAACTGGTAAAGAACCACGGGAAGTTGCAAGTTTTACCTTTGTCTGGCAGAAAGCGTTCAGTGATGTAGCGGTCTGACAGAACCGCTGCTGAAACAAGGGAACCATCTGATATCTTAACACCATGGTGTAACTCATACCGCTCTCTTAACCCACGGAGAATCGAGATGGTATCTTCAACAGATGGCTGACCACAGAAGACTTGCTGAAACCTACGTTCCAGAGCTGGATCTTTCTCTATGTATTTGCGGTATTCGGTCAGTGTAGTTGCACCAATGCATCTCAACTCACCTCGTCCAAGCATTGGTTTCAAGAGATTGCTTGCATCCATTGCTCCACCAGTAGCTCCTACACAAGGGCAATAATAGCAGCTAATTTATTACTTTCACCCAACCAGCAACAAAGCATTAGTGTCACGCAAAAGAATAGACAAGAAAACTTAGCCCTCAATTGGCGATTCCGTTTTCTTCTGATAAGTAAATGTATTTAAATAAAAAACCACCCAAAAACCATTCATACAAAACAGATAAACATCGCACAACATATGCATACATGTATTGTGTTCAAAAGGAAATCCTTATTGTATATAGCTTATGGGTAAAAAGTGAAAGGGCACCTACCTGCACCAACAACAGTGTGGATTTCATCAATGAACAAGATTATCTGCCCGTTGGAAGCAGATACTTCCTTCAGTACTGCTTTCAACCTTTCCTCAAAATCTCCTCGAAATTTGGCACCAGCAAGCAATGAACCCATGTCAAGAGATATCAACTACATTATAAAGCAACCAAGCAAAGCATATGTTAAAATCTTCCTCTGGACTCTTGAGGTGAAAAGGTGAAACAAAAAAAAGATCTCAATAACCTTCCGATTCATGAGAGGTTCAGGGACATCCCCTCGCACAATTCGCTGGGCCAACCTGAAAAGGTTAAAAAATCACACAATAAATTTGTCTGAGGAGAGTAAAATCATAAGTTTCAGCGATGTTACAAACGAAAAGAATAACAAGGGAACTAACTGCAAGCCTTACCCCTCTGCAATTGCAGTTTTACCTACACCAGGTTCACCAATGATAACAGGATTGTTTTTTGTCCTCCTGCATAATATCTGGATGCATCGCCGAATTTCATCATCCCGTCCAATGACAGGATCGAGTTTTCCTTTTTTAGCCATCTCAGTTAAATCATTCCCATACTTTTCAAGGACATCATATTTTCCTTCAGGATCTACATGTGTAGCATCACATGATGAGAATAAGCGAAGATAACCAAAACAGACATAAAAGTATGCAAGGTAACAGAACATTTAATGAGATGTCAATACTATCTTTCATCAGCTTGAGTACCAAGACGTGTAAATGTTCACCAATACAAAGTGGAAGAGAAAAATACTTACTTTGATCAGTAACTCGTTGACTACCGCGAACAGCTTTAATAACTTCCTTCAGAGCTTCCTCGTTAAGTTTAAGGGTCTTGAAAAATTCTTGTCCAAACCTTTTATCTGAATAAAAGGCCAAGAGAAGGTGTTCGACCGACACATAATCATCTTGAAACTCTTTCTGATACCTCTGTGCGTTTTCTAATATAGTACTAAGAGATGACCCTAGTATCTGTCCACTGATATCACCAGTAACCTGCCCGGTCACACGAAATTAAGTAAGCAGCGCCTAGTGAGATATAAGGGGAAGCAGGATTTATCGAGTAAAACCTTTGGTTGTGTAGATATGAAGACGTCGGTAGCCTGCAGAACAGAGCTATTGTCGATTCCAGCCTTTGCAAATATTCTCCTAGCAAGACCATCTTTTTGCTCCAGAAGAGCTTTCATCAAATGTTCAGATTCCACAATTTGTTGTTTCGAAACACGAGCTGCATCGTAAGCATTGAGAATCCCTTCCCAAGCCATCTCCGTATATGAATTTTGATTAGTCTACACAAAAGAAAGGAAAAAAAGAGACAAATTAACACTCTTTTCTCACTGCCAAAACACAATCGAATACACATTTCCGAAGACTATAAGAATCACGAGTGAAAGATTCCAGCTTTCTCCAGATTTTAGCCACGTGATATGACAAATCAACAAATTATCACCAAACCCATGAAAATCTAAACGATAAAACTGAGGATCAAAATCGACCCAGTAACTGAAGACGAACCTGAGCTGCGGTGACGGAGAAGCGTCTCGGAGAAGGGAATTGGAGAGAAAGAGGTAAGAGTTGGCCATGAGAAGCGGCTCGAGCGACGGAAGTTATACCATTTCCCGAAACTCCGATGAAGGAATTTGGCCGAAAAGGAAAGGAATCAGAAGAAGAACGCGAGCTGAAGAAGTGAGCAGAGGCAGAGAGAGCGCGAGAACGAGGAAGGAGAGAGGGTTTAGAAAAAGCATTGATGGCTACCGAAGCAGACTTGGACAATCTCCTGGACGCCATGTGAGTAAAGTTGAATTGAACACAAGAGGTAAGGAACTGTGTAGGATTCTGGTTGATGAGAGTTGAGGAAGACGACGAAGCGTTTACCAAAA